AGATGGTGGTGGGGGGGAGAGCTTAGGTCAAGGCTGTAGCCTTCAGGCTGCAGTCAGAGACTGGTCCAATGGACTGCTTGCGTGCATGTGTTTGAAAGAAACAGAACTTCACTTGATTCCTTCAACCGGGGAACCGAAAACACCCCGTTTCATGGATTGGAACGATCTGTTGAAAGCCCTATCCAAACAGCTGGATTTGCCCCATAGACGAAGCCGCCAAAGAACTAAATAAACTGAAAACCAGTCTAATGTAGCGTGGTCCAGAAATGCAGCTGCTAGATTTGTAACAGATCTGGTTAAGCATAATTGTGCAAACAAACAAAGGTAGAAAGCTGGGTTCTCAGGCTGGGCTTGAATCCGTCCCCTTCAACTTAGCTTTCTCAGTGAGGGGCATTTTTATGAAAATTTAAAAGAAAAAAAAATCGAAGGATGTTTGGTCCTGTGGGCCTCCACTTGGCAATCCAGTCCAAAAGCAAGACGGATTTCCTTTGTGTGAACTGGAATTGGGCTGTAGACATGCAACCACCTTCATCAATCCATCGGTAGCCATCATTCCATTTTAGGTAGGTATCGTAGCCTGTCAGTTTGGCAGCGGGGAGCCGCCTCCAGGACTAGCCTGTCTTTCTACCCCATTGCTCAGGGCCTCTGCTGTAGAGGACAAGATTCAGACGTGTGTCCAAAGAGTCAAATCTCCTTTGAGCTGAGCTCTGATATGACTCTGAGGATATATCTGTGCAGTTTCCTTGGCTACAGTATGGAAGGAGTTGACTGTGGACCTTTTTCAGATTTCTTTTCAACTTCCCAGTCTAGGTCTACAACCCTGGGATTTTCTAGTGGTCTCCCTGTCCCAGGCCTAACCTCACTTAGCTTCTGAATCTTCCTGCTCACTAATCAAAGTTGACACCTGGTGAATAAGCAAAACTCAAACCTAATTCCCACCTTCCAAATTCCCCAAGTTATAAATCTCATTTCTAAGAACTTGCCTCTTATCAGGTAAAAACCTTCATTCACAGAAAGGAACAATAGTGCTATTCTGACTAAGCAAGAAACATTTGTAATTCTATTATCCTTTTAGTATTTATTTTGCTTTCGTTCGTTTGTTACTTGTGAATAAAGTGCATTGAAGATGCTGGCAGGAATTGTGTCTGCTTGGTTTCTCTATCAACCCTGTCCTAGATTCCAAGCTAAGTTTCATCTATGTCCCTTCTTGAATCAAATGTGATGATGCGACTAAATTTTCAAAGAATTAGTATTTGATGAGCCGGGAAAGTTATTTGTAGAGGGTTTTTTTTCTTTTCTTTTCTTTTTTCCCTGAAGAGCTACTGAATTTTCACAAAGGCATTTAAGCCTGAAAACTTCCTGAATGTGGATCAGCAGAGCTAGAAATGTGAATTAGGGAGAGAGAGAGAGAGAGAGAGAGAGAGAGAGAGAGAGAGAGAGAGATCCTGGCTTGTAATATATAATGGATGCCATGAAGGATGAAGATAAAATTGAGCTGGCTCCTGGTGACATACATACCTATATAGCTTTCTTGATAATGTTTTGCCCTGGCCTCCTCGTAGGGAGCTTTTCAAATTCTTTGTGCTGTACACTCTGTACAGTTCCTTGCTGATCTCCCATCTTGGGGGTCAGCCAAGTTTGGCTCAGCGTTGCCATCTGCTGTAAATCAAAAGTATGAAGGAAGAGAAAGTGGGGGACTCAGTCATAGGAAAACTGGCATTCTGTTCATAGTAGGTTTGTCCCCCAGGACTTCGATAAATCTGTGATGTGGTTACCAAGTTTCTAGTTTTTCCATCAAGTTAGGGCTCCTACAGCAAACAGCAGCAGGATGTAAGGGTGCATTTTTGGGGTTGCAAATCCAAAGGGAAAGAAAGGCTGAAAATCCAGGTCAGAAATGCCTGTTTTCATCCAGACTGGAGTTGTTTGGGTTGCAAAAAAAGGTGTACATTAAACAATTGTAAATACCCCTGTTACATCTGGATGATGACCAGATCCTCTGGTCACAACTGTGTCTTAGGAGGAACTCCAAACTACGTTTTGCAAATGAAGTACAATCAAACAAAGCAAAGTTGGAGAGCATCACAGCCCGTGAAGGAGAAGCAGCAGCTTCTTTCTCCCCGTCCACACCACACCCTGGTCAGCTCCTCACTAGGAACAGGGACTTCCAAACTCAGCATCCTTCCTCTCCGTTGGAATGATTTCACCGGTGAAAGGCCAGCCCCTGGGAAGCTGGGCAGCCGAGATAAGGTCTCCTGCCTTTGTCTTGCTTCCTGTTATGATGGGACATGGTCACCTTGGAAATCCTCCTTTGCGGTCTCTGCGGCCAGAAAACCGCAACCCGGAGCATTGGCTGGACGGGGAGGGGGGGTCCTGAGGTGTTCCAGCAGGCTGCAGAAGCCTCTTCCTCCCCCCACTCTTGTTTTGATCTTTCAAGCAACGGGGGGGGGGGGATATACTTTGTTCTTGAGGGTTGTTTTGAATGCTGATCCCTTAGTTGGGGTGCACAAAGCCAACAGAAACAGGCAAGGAGTCACATGCCTGTTTGTTCCATCTCTCTCTCTCTCTCTGTCACACACACACACACACACACACACACACACACACAGATCTTCCCTGCAGTTAAGCACAAAGGCTAGGTCAATTTAAGTCTGAAGTAGAACTCTTTTTCCTTATATGCAAGTTTTCTTCACGCAGGGAGATTTGGGGTGGAGATATGTTCTGTCTGGATTGGTGGAGCCCAAATGCAGGCTAGCCAAGACCATGAGGATAAGTTAGAGCTGCCTCCCGTGAATGCATCCAATCCCCTTGAAAGCCACCCGAGTTAGTGGCCATCATCGGGGCTCGTGAGAATGAATGTCACAGGTTCATGATGTGCTGGGTGAAGAAGTGCCTCTTTGTGTCTGTGGGAAATCTTCCACTCAGCTTCACTGGGTGATTCCCAGTCTGGTTGTTTCAAGAGAGGCAGAAAAACTTCTCCCTGTCCATCTTATCCCTGCCATGGATAATTTTATCCACCTTGCATAACATTAATCCATCTAGCATTTTTTTAAGCTAGAGTCCCAGATGTTCTAAACGCTTTCTCACGTGAAAACTATGCTAGCCCCCTGTTCATTTCGGTTGCCCTCCTTCGTTGCTTCTTTTGTAAATGTGGCAACCAGAACTAGGACTGTGTATTATAGTCCAGGTGTGGACACCATAAATGATTGTCAAAGCATTGCTAGATTGGCATTTTCATTTTCAGTCCCCTTCCAAATGACCCCTAGCATGAAATTTGTTTTTTTCACAGCTGATGAACATCTTCTAACCAAGATCTTTTTCCAGATTAATTACAGATAGCCTCAAGGATATACGAAGTTAGTTTTTTTGGCCCCAAGTGCATCTCTTCGTACTTGGTGAACTCCATTTGACATCTGGTCATCAATAATCCAGTTTAAAGGGTTCCTTTTGGAACTCTTCACAATCACTTTATCCCCCTGAATAGTGTGATATCATTCACAAACTTGAACAGGTCACAGGTCACTTCTGGCTCAATCATTTCCACAAAAATTAAAAAGGCCTGAACCCTTCAGAAAATTCAGTTTCTTGCTCCCATTGATGGACAACTTAGTTTATTCAAGACAAAGACTTTTTGAAAATAAAACCATACTACACTGATAGGGTTGCCTCCATTCTTGTGCCTGTTGATTGTGAGGCCAGATCAGTCTTCGCAGGATCCATGTTGGTTCTCCAGCAGAGAAGGCTCTTCCTCTACAGGAGTTATTTTTATATAATTATTGTTTGTCCCAATGTGCCTGGAACTGACGTTAAGATGATTGGCCTATAATTCCTGGATTTCTCTTCATCCCCCTTTTAAAAATGGTTCTCTCTTTAAAACTTGGCCAACTTCCAGTCCTCTGGCACTAGGCCAGATCTGAGAGACAAATTACATATTTCTGTTAGGAGGTCAACAAATTCTCATTTCTTTAATCTTCTCTTCAGGATTGGGCGATTTGTTACCACAGAGTCTCTCGAGATGGCCTAGAAATAACTTCTCTCAGTTCTCTCCATAAGAAAGAATGTAGGTTCATATCGATCCTACGTCTCCTGTAATGAAGACCACATCTACACCACTGCTTTGCAGGGTTCCTCTGCTGTTCTGGAGCCAGCAGGAAATCAGGCCTCCCTAGATCTTGCTGACCCCACAGCATGTCCTTATCGTGTATCTGGAATGGGCTCGTAGCTATAGCTCTATTGCATGGCATCCCCAGAGCTGGAGTTTCCCTTGACTGAAATCCCACCGTTGCCTAAAGCCACCCATTTCATGACAAGCCACCTCCAGTCAACATGCACAACCCTGGACCAACTCTGGGCACTCCATTTTTTTCTTTTTTTTCTCCTGTTGTGCTGTCATCTGCTTTAATTTTTTTTGATACTTTAAGACAGAGTTTCCTAAACTTTTGGGTCTCAGGACCCCTTCCCATTTTTGAAAATCATGGAG